ATGCCTCCGGAAGTACCCAAGTCGAGCTGTCTTGATCAGTCGAACGGCGATCAAACCCTCGATGCTCAATTTGAGCAAGAATACAGCCCCCAAAATGCAAGCGATCAGAATGAGGAACCATAGAAGCCCGGTTAAAAATGCGTTGGACGCCGGTATATTGAGCTCGGCCAAGGTTCCAGCGAAGCCAGAATAATTCCCTGGTAACGGCAACCCTGGTAGCACTGGTCTCCCGTACCAGGAGAATTGAGAAGTACCGTTTGTGGTATTCGCAGCTTGTCTTTTCAGCAGGTGACCCATGGCGAAGGGAGTTTCCTGGAGTGGCGCAAACGACGTGGGCACGGCTCGCTTGTATATCTGTGAAATTTCATAGCCACCTCCGAGTCCAGCAGCATTTTCGCCGTTGGGGGCGGCACCGACCATGCTGATGTTGCCGCGGTTGCTACCGATGAATTGATTGATCGAATTCTGCATCTTCTGGCTATAAATTATCCCGGCCGACCAGGCATAGTTACTCCAGAACGAGACGAGAACACTTGGCCAATTCATCGACAACCCTCCAGTAAAGAAGATGTGCTGGTAGACGGAGAACACCACAAAAATGGAGACGGAATGGGCATAATGCTTCCGAGCCTCGGGAATATTTGGTCCATATATGGCCATGGTGGCTGAAGATACCACGGCAATGACGGCGAAAGCACCAAGGACAGAGGCCACTGCTGAGGGGTGTGAAAATGAGGCCCCATTAGTTACCACTGCAGAGAAGCAAGCTATCTGGGATTCGGTCGAGTTCGCAAAGATGCGGAGAATTGCCTGTCCCTCGAAGTCCGGAATTGTCAAGGCAATTGACGGGATATTGGCCACGTCCGACGGTGCCACGGGGATGATTCCATTCGCGTTGATGGGTATGGACGAGTTGAGGGGGCAGAGGCTGTGAATATTGGCATTGCATGGATTGAACGTCAGATTAAAACGGGACTCTCCGTACGCGAAAACGCCGATGTATACTGTGATGTGCGGATCAGCTCGATGTCAGCACTTTAATCTCGACGAGCATATAACTCACGCATCAAACTCTCATTTGTCAAGGCAGAGTTACCCTCCAGGTGGAAAAGAACGGTCATGTTGTCCTTGTAATATGCCGCATCGAAACGGGTGACGTTGATGAGTGAATCGCCCTGGCAATCTCCAAAATCCTGAGTGTACAAGGAAGGGCGTCGGTCGTCGTCGAGCCAAACGGTGCCGTCGTTGCCTGTGTATTCTATCCACCTGGTATTGCCTGCTGCAGCCCTCTGCACATTCAACGCCAGGAGTGACACCAGGATCGACCATGCCGTCAACCAGGAATACATGGCACGCCCAAGCACGGACGCCATGGCTGCCTGAGGCTTACGCCCGGCTACCTGGACCGACAAGGGGTTCGACAAGGTCTCGTCAACGAAGTTTCGAGCGACTGGTAGCGGCCTGGGAAGACTTTGACATAACCAGACGGAGCTTCGTGGCTCAGTTATGCACAGGTCGAGCAGTCCAGCTCTTGGATTATGTGAGGATTCTGGATCCCGTGGAGGTGATTATTCTTTATTCAATGTGAGACCTCATTCTATGAGAGGTTCAGGACGCATGAGAGCTATGAGCACAGGTACAGAAAGGTCGCAGCGAAGGCATCCGGTCGAAGGATTTGGGGACTCCAGGATTCTGGATATTTTGCGGGTTGGCTCGGGACGTGCAGGAAGTGTTGGAGAGGGTGGTATGTGCAAAATTAAGAGTATTTGACAGGTGTTACCGAAGGGTACGATGTTGACGAAGGGGTGTGAGTAAAGGCCGGGCACTTCCAGAGCGATAAACGAAGGACGAAGGGTGGGAAAAGGTAAAAGCGTGGTAGTTCTTTAGTATGGTGGAAAAGTGGAAGGTGGGAATGGAAAATGTAGCTTTCGGTACGTGCTGCTTCAATGCTGGGCCGATGGTAGCTACCCACCAGCCCACCAGCCCACCTGTCTACCAGCTTATACAGGGTAGGCACACATGTCATGTCACCCACCAACAACCTAATCACCGCTATGGTGCTAGTGGCTATCAATGGCGTGGAGAAATAACCGAGTCGTCTGTGAAGCTGTGAAGGTGAAGCTATGAAGCTCGCGCAGCTTCCAAACGGCATTCAAAGAGGCTAAAGTCGCGAGCAGCGTCACAAAACTCTACTTAGTGCCATCCATCCAAAGCAGGTTTTGCTTTAGCTTCCAGCTTGCCGGGCTCGACGGATCACTGCGGTGACTACGGAAGTCGGTGCTCATGATGCCTTTGGACACACCCAACGTCTTTACGCTTTTGGGTGCTTCCAATCGATGACGCGTAGCTTCGGTGCAGATCCGGGGAGTCAGTGAAATGACTGTGACGTGTTGAATGATGAAGAATGCTTCATCCAACGCTTCCTTCTGCCATCGAGCTCCCCGCCAGCATTGAACAGCCTGTTAAGGACCGCGTGTTCTGCAGTTCGTGATTGTCTACCTGCCCGGGTAGGTACCAAATACCCAAGTCCCCGGTTCCCTATGACCCCGGCAAAGTGCAACGTGGGGGCGCTCGTATTTTTCTCTGCATGTCGCTGTCATCCCGCTTGTGCTTGTGAAACCTTCGACCAGCTATGTCACAGAGATCGATCTGCTTGACGGGTCATCTGGTATCTAGGGTAGACATCGTACCCGTCATTTGACGTTCCCTCGACTGAACTACGACATTTCGCTTTCTCCCGGCCGTTGCTTGTTCTCCGCAGCTTGCCTTCGGCGAGCCAACAGGTACACCGGTGGAGTTCATCCTAAGCGAGTGGGTTTGCGGCGCTGGTCGATCCCCCCATGAAAGAGTGATGATTTTGGGAGGGGCAGATCTCCCCTCCTAAGAACATTGTTATCGATATCGCGTCCTTGTGCAAGCCACCTTGCCCAGAAAATGGTATCCAGACGATCTGCCGCTGACGAGGTGGCTTGCACAACGTGGAGCCTCCTTCGTCGGGTAGCACGGCCTTGGACAGGCAGGCGAGCTGACATGAACAAGGCTGCGGGAGCTTGCAATTGAAACTGGGGACTTCTCCAGAAGCATCTCAGATGGTTTCTATTTTATCTAGTATACCGCCCATCCTCGCTTTCAGAGGGTCTTCTCAATCTCATCCACGGGCAACATCAACTCGACAATCTTCTTCTTGACGGCCTCGCTGGGCTCTTCATACGGTCGGCGAGGTCGCAGCATGGCCTCAAGGTCACCCTGGATGCCGGCTTTCTTCGCGCTGAACTGACTTACAGCGTATTTGGTCGTGGCAATCCCGGCTTTTGTGGGGTTTTCGGCATGAGCAGACAGTCTCTGCAACGCCAACGCCTGATCATGCTTACCCATTTTCCATAGGTCGAAGACTTTGGCGACTGTCTTGGGGAAGATATTGGCAAATGCAGCAATACAACCCGCCGACCCGGCCGCCAACCCACCGACCAAGAAATCCGACTGCCCACCAAAGACGGCAAATCGCTCTGGTTGAAAGGTGGCCGACAGTCGTGTAATCTTTCCGACCGAACCGCAGGTCAATTTCACACCTACAATGTTCGGAAACTCGTGTGCCAGGGCTGCAATTGCGTCCGAGTCCAGGTCGAGGCCATTGCAGACAGCAGGGAAGTTGTAGATGAGAATGGGAAGAGGAGAGGCCTTCGCCACGGCTGCATAGAAGTTGTGGACGACGGTGGGTGTGGTCTGCTTGCCGAAGTATGCACAAGGGAGCACGAGAACAAAGTTCGCCCCGGCTGCATGGGCATCAGCAACGTACTCAAGCACCTGTGCTGTTGAGTGGCCTCCAACCCCGGCAATGATAGGATAGTTCTCGGGGACTGACTTGCGTGCTAATCGCAAGAGGGTAGCTCGTTCGTCACGGGTGAGCAAAAAGGTTTCAGCATTTGTCCCCAGGATGACCAGTCCTCTCAAGCCGGAATTCGCAAGGTAGGAATAGTATTGCGCTTGTTCATTGGGGAGCAAGGTATCGGTCACGGGGTCGAAAAAGGTGACTGCAGGACAATACACTCCAGGCGGTGGGACGGGATATGTTTGAGGGGTTGGAGTAGTAGAGCCCATGTTGCTTGAATCTTTGAATTTTATTCTTTTGGGATGTTGATCTTCGAGTGTAGACAGGAGCCGGACAAACTGCGCCCCAGAACAGAATCTCGTCGTTAAATGATCCATCTTTTATCATCCTCGAACGACACCTCCGACAGCGGCACACAATCAATCGGTGACTGCGCCGTCGCCATCCTTGCCCGTGTTTCCCCTCAGGTTCATGGTATCTTTAATGCGGGGGGCCACTCGAACGGCCCGCAGGCGATTCGATTGGCGATGAGATCCTGGCCTTCGGCGTCTGATATACCGGATTCGCGGAGTCGATCGACCAGCAAAGGAAAGAGTTGCTCTAGCCACAAGCCATACATTTCTGAGGCGCTTGAGGCGCTTGACACCACCATTGTTGAGTCCGATCCCTTTGGCCGTGGGAGTACGTGTGCGTGAATGGGGAGCCTGACGAGATACACGGGGCGAGGAGCCGGTGAAGATAGAGACGGTGAGAATGGCCACAAAAGGCTCCTGAGCAAAAGTGAATGGCGAATTAAAACCGCGCCAGACATGGTGCACCTGTTCTTGGTACCTTTTCCAAATCCTCGTGTTGGGCTCTTTCTTGTCCTGCCACCGTTGAACCTCCAAGTTTGCATACCGTGCATCTCGAGGCGTTTGGAAGACATTGTTCTTACGTTAATCAGAGTATTTTACACTTGCACTATGCTGCGCCAGAGATTCGTCTTGCTCTGTCCAAAGGATTAGAAAGTGAAGCCAGCGATTTCTCCCAACCAAAAAAAACGGCGGTGATTCATCAGCTGTCAGAATCGACAGTCAGCGAACCTCTGAAATCCTACTTCTGCGACATGACATCTTCTCGCCTGATGCATTGGATAAAAGATCGACCCGGCGGAAGATTCAATCTGCTTCCCATGCCTTCTACGACCTCCAAACCCAGGCGAGAGCTGGGCTCTCCGCGCCTCCTCCGGCGAAAGTTGTCCTTGTTTATACTCATCTTATTTGCAGCTCTCTTCACCCTTCCTCTACTGCGACACGTCCGAAACGACACGTGTTCGACTTCTCCATTTCTGCTTCGGGCAGGCGTGTGTAGCACGATTTTTCACGCTGTGTGGAACCTGTTCTATCACTTGGGGGGAAACGGTCCCTGGATCCGCAAAATACATGGGGTTAACTATTACGATGCGCCTTTACCCAAGAAATGCTCGATCGATCAGGTCCACATGGTAAGGAACATCAGCTGGATGACAGACACTGGGCCATTTATTCTTTGTGCTAACTACTGTAGTTATCACGGCATGCTGAACGATACCCGACAAAGACAGCTGGCTCCCGTGAGTTTCTTTGGTGAACTAAAGCTTCTTAAAGCACTAACAAGCTTCACCAGGCCACGTCGATCTCCTCAGCCGACTTCAGGGTCCGGAGGTAAATCTCACCGGGTCGCTATCATTTATCAACGACTGGACCTATTTTACCGATCTCTCTAATCCTTCATTCGAGAATCTAACCGCCACTGGTCCGTATGCTGGGACACGACAGGCATCGAATACGGGCAGGGCTTTACGGCAACGCTACAACCACCTTGTATCCAACGGCCGCAGGACAAAATTCTGGTCTTGCAGCTCTCCGCGGAACGTTGAGACTGCAGAACATTTTGCCAATGGATTCTTTGGCGCGGAATGGAAGTCTGATGGTTCAGCTGAGCTGGTGATCATTCCCGAGGATCAAGATCGAGGCGCTAATACGCTTACCCCGGGAGATACTTGTCTTAGCTACCGCGCGGACAAAGAGTATGGTCACGACCATGGATATGTGAAGCTGGCGGAGTGGCAGGGCATATTTTCCCAAGCCATTGCCAAGAGACTTGCCAATGACGCCGTGGGAATGACGTTCAGTCCTCTTGACATCTATGGTATGTTCCCCCTATCTCCGCGAGACTGTTTCGGCACTTGGAGAACCTTCTGTGATTTGCCTGTGTCAAAATCGGTGTAAGACTGACGGATATCTGAAGGCATGATGGAAATGTGCGGATTCGAGATTCTCGCAAGGGGAAACAGTCCTTGGTGCGATGTCTTCCAACGTCAGGAGTGGCTCGAATTCGAATATGCCCGAGACTTGCTACATTACTATCGAGCTGGTCCGGGCAACAAGTTTGGTGCAGCAATGGGTTGGTTGTGGCTCAATGCGACTCAGCAGCTCATGTCAAACCACTCGTCGGAAGACGTCTACTTCAGCTTCGTCCACGACGGCGACATTGTCCCTGCGTTGGCCACCTTGGGAATCCTCAATGAGCCTTTGGGCCTGCATGATCTGCCTACTGACCGGCTAGTGACCGAGCGGAACTGGAAGACAAGTGACGTGGTACCAATGGGGGGGCGGTTGATATTCGAACGTATAACTTGTCAGCCGAATGGAGGGACAACAGCAACAGGGCCGGAGCATGCCGTACGGCTCTTTATCAATGACGGTCTTACCGACTTGACCAAATTGACCAACATGGTGCCGTTCACCCCCGTAGAAGGTGCTGTCTCGTTGGAGAGTTTCCAAAACACCTTGTCCATGAAAGGGACACAGCTGGGGGATTTCCGAGAAATCTGCTCTTTGCCAGACGACGCACCTCATCGCATCGAGTTTTTGCATCAATAGAAATGATACCACGTCTATACGAGGTAGACAGCGAAATGCGCACAGATAGAGAGCAAGGAGTGGGATTGCTGAGGCTGAGTGTATTTATAGCTCCTGTGACAAAGTCCCCTGGGGTGGTGCTGGGAGATTTGGGATCCGGCCGAGGCTGAACCAAATCTCAATGTTTCAGCGCCTGCACCACGATCTGACACTGCGGCTGACACCTACACAGGGGCTGAAGTCTACATATCATTGAAGACAGCTCCCTCCACCCCTCCTTTCTCAAAAGCTCCTCTGCTGCTTTTGCATTTCTGACAACAACCATTCGCAATTGCTTTTGACACTGTGTCCCATCCTTCGAAGCAACAGAAAATCTACTCCAACCCCTTGTCTGCGCCTCTAGCGACGAGAATAAACAAACTCCAACAACACACTATCCAAAGTGACCAACTCGAAGAAACCTTTCGCTCGTTTCACGTCCTTTAGACGAGCCAGCAATCTCCCACTGTCCTTGAATTCTTTGGTCCGCGCTGTGTCCGTTCGACCGGTTACCTTTTGATCAGCGTCTGCGGACTAATCAATCTTTGGTTCAAGAGAAAGCGGTCAGAGAAAGATATGGCCGATCTACAGACGCCTACCGAAGCGACACTTCTCTCAACGTCAAATTCGGCCACCGACTACGCTACTCCGATCTCAAAAGAAGCTGGCACACAAATCTCCCTTATCGAAACCACGGTCCCTACTACAAACGAACCTTCAGAGCCGGCACCTGCCCCTACGGTGACGACGACGGACGCGGCTATGAATGGGGTTACAAATGCAAGCACAAACACTACTACACTTACCAATGGCACCACATACACACCCGCAGCATCATCGGCTACAACTACTCCCCTTCCCGCAACCACCTCTGCACCTGCCGCTGTGGCAGATGGACTGGCCAAAAATGGCCAACCGGCTAACCTGAGTGATTACGACGATCCGCCGTTGTTTTCCCCGTCACTCATTTCCGAAGAGGTGGTGTCACGGCTGCCCGAGGGCTACACGATTCGCCCTCTCCGACGAAGTGATTACTATGGAGGTACGTTTACATTTTAGTTGTCTTTGGATACGTAGATTCTGTTCCCATTCCTCCCGAGAAAATTTGCATCTCTCCGCCCACAACAAAGAGTCGATCTCTAATCTTTGGATTACAGGCTTTCTTCCCACCCTCCGCGTCCTCACCACGGTCGGCGAACCCACTCTGGCTGAATTTAATGCCCGCTACGACTTCATCTCGTCGCGCAACGACACTTACTATATCCTGGTCATCTGTGATGAGACGTCGACCGTCGTGGGAACCGGGGCCGTGATCGTGGAGCGAAAATTCATCCACAACATGGGCCTTGTAGGCCACATCGAGGACATTGCGGTCGCGAAGAATCAACAGGGCAAGAAATTGGGTTTGAGGATCATTCAGGCGCTGGATGCGGTGGCCGAGAGAGTGGGTTGCTACAAGAGTATCTTGGATTGCAGCGAGGCGAATGAAGGATTCTATGTGAAATGCGGGTTTAAGAGGGCAGGGTTGGAGATGGCGCATTATTATGAGCAAGGCCCAAAGACGAGTTATGAGAGGTCGTGAGAAGGCGGAAGGGTTTACGGGGTTAAGGCACGAAATTGCTGCGTCGATGGGGTTGTTGATTCGGGAAAGAAGATCGTGGATGCGAGTTCGATTTGCAAGGCGTCCTCATGATAGAATGGGTCTGGAAATTGAAGCTGTGCCGTTCCTGCCGCGGGATATGAAACGCGGTGCGCCGCAAGGCCGAGGATGAAGATTTGATTGCTTTGACGTATACTGCTATGGATGATGGATAGGCTCTGGAAGAGTCCACATGGGAAACCAGCGAGCGAGCGAGCGAGTTCATGTCCGCAATATATAGAAGGCGATAATGCCGGATAGACAAAAAACTTTATATATCTCAACAAGGCCGTCTGAATGGGGATGAGAGGAACTACCTCGCGGATAATATGCACATACACACAGATGTACCAAGTACACATGGGGAGAGGGGGAAGAGAGAGGGAAGGAAGCCATTCATCGATATCTGAGTAGGTAGGTAGGCATGCAGGTCTGGAACTGACTCTGATCAAATGAGAATTTTGCTGTGTCTCGATATATATCTCGATATCTATCGCCTTTTCTTTTGCCTTTTCCTTCCGCAGATGAAAAGTTTCCTTTCTCTTTGGGAACGTCTTTCCTTCTTTCTCTCGTTTTTTTCATTTCTCTTTTTGTAGCTGTCCACACCATGCGAAGGAAGGTTTGTTTGGTTCGCAACGCTTACCTGGATAAGATACCGTACGAGCACGGGGTACACGTGGCGTAGCCTCCCGGCGTGCGGTGAAGGCTTTTCGACTCAGTCTCTGGTTGGAGGTTAACATGCGACGTTTGGATCTTGATGTTAATATGGGGGACAGGTTCCGGTATAGAGACGGGGAGCTGGGTCTTGAGCTTCAGTGCCTAGGAACAGAGTACCTCGCTCCGTGGGACAAACTGAAATAGGCATTCCTGGCCTTGGGGGACCAAAGCCCTGTTTTCCTCCTGCAATCCCTTGCAGGGCCGACTGTGAGGATGGCGGCCACATTGTGCGTTCCTTTCCAAGAACAAGTTCCGTCGGCGTCTTCGAATCCCTGAAGTCGACAGTACTTCGACTGTTGACCCAGTTTTCAACGGTGGCACATCTCCGGCTAACAAGGGCCAAGGTTCGGTATTTGTTCGAAGCATTTCGCTGGATGCACAGCCTTCGCACCTTTTGCCTTCTGGCTAGCAAGTCCTGACGCGCTCAGCCCGGTCACAAGTAGCCTTTTTTGCCCAAAGGCACAGCTTCTTACACACTGCAAGGCATTCGCCTACAGCTACAAATAGGCGCCAGGAGCAGGCAGACGAGCCCTTTGTGGAATGTCGCTTGTTTTCACCTGTGGCCGAGAGGCAAGGATCCTCCATGGCCGCTCCTTAGGACGCAAGACTCAAACCATCCTTGGTTGGCCCCGAGGCCCTATGATGATCCACGTGACCTAGACATGTTAGGCAGCACTCAAAAACTTCTGCCAGAAACTTGCAGATCATGTGCCGTGGATTTTACAACTGGCTTTGATGTGCATCGGACACGCAGGAAAACTCTGATCCCCCACGTTAGGAGATGACGAGGCGAGTTTGATCGCAGGAAGGACGGTTGCAGCAATCAAGATACATGCTTCTGAAAGTTGCTCTTGCTCACGCTCGGGCAGAAACGATGGTCGGTCTGTCCGTGAGGCTTGAAATTGCTGGGAATTAAATGATGATAAACACAAACACTGACCCTGACGTCTTGGATTTTCCATATCCTGCTGAGACTCAGTATTACCTTAGGCCGCTGGTGGAGTATTTCCCACCAGCACTCCGCGTCAGCTTCCAGAAGCTCTGTGGACGTGACGTTCTGAGGGAAAGGACCGAAAGCCCGTATTCGGGTGAGTTGAAGGATGCTACAAAACGGATCTCTTGAAATCGTTTTCGCATCTGATGACATTATGTTTCCGTTTAGGCAACAGGCAGCCTGTGCCGTCGAAATCCAAAGTGTCAACAACAGGTTCCCTACATAGCGAAGGCTGGTCTGAGTTGGTGCCATCTCACGGGATTCTAACACATCCGGTCGCCGGAGTGGTTCCCATCGAGCCAGGCCGCCGGGCGACAAGGTCAGGTTGGTTGTTGTCGAGCTCTGATGTCGCATTCCGCATCAACGACGGAATGCTGTGATATGAAGGCGATGTGATGACAAATGCAGATATGGCCATTGGAGCTTCGCGTCGTCGTCCACAGGCGAGCCGAATTTGTGCAAATTGCACAACTCCGGCAGGGTCCTAGGCAAAATACGCTCCTTGGCCAAGCGGCAACGAACCCGTGCGAGGTGCGAGGTTTCGTACCAGAGTCTCGACCGTCACGATGACTTGCTTTTTCGAGTAGCATTCGACGGCTCGGTAGGAGTGCTTCTGCCTGTTGTGGTGGCCAAAGTCTGCGGCGCTCTTGGCCCATCTCGGAAAATTGAGGAAAGTCTGATCTGCGATCTGGGCGCCCGCCAAGGAGGAGCTGTAGGATGCCCCAAACAGGCAAAGATGACATTGACAAATGGGTCGCGCTGCTTCTATTCCCACCCGCCTCAGCCACTCGCAAAGGCAAGGCAGCCTCCAGTAGATCCAAACCCAGCCCCCAAACGTGCCGTGTATAGTAGACATTTTGGGATAGTTAACTTGAGGCTGAATGTTTTGGATTTCCCTTGACTCTGGAACATGAGTCCTCTACCTCGTAGTTTGTCTGTTGAAGGGACAAAGGAATCCGTCGAATCTTGAAGCTCGGAATCTGGATGGAAGAGTGAGAGCGTGGAACTGGGCCTAAAGCAGGCAAGGTGGCGTTTTGCCGCCCAACTGAATCAAGTTTGAGTCACGCTCTTTCTGCAGTAGGGCCTTCTCAGTTTGATCCTCGTTCTCCGGTCAGAGCGCCGGCCGCCCACCCACCACCCGTCCACGGCAACCTTGCCCTTCACCAGGGGGCGAATCAGGCTGTCGATGATTCACTACCACGCGGGGTGCTGGCTGGCCCGATTGGAGTGTCGTAGCGTTGTCAGACACTGATTAGTTGTGCTTAGGCTGGTTTGCTTTCTTTCCTCCGTGTTGGGAGGTGTGCACATGCTGGCGGAGTTACACATGGCAGCCAGCATCCTGTTGGCCAGGCGGTCGTCGGACATGCTCTCCAAGGTGAAGCAGAACGGTCAATACAGGTCTGGGAGCAGATGAAGGTCGACCGTGAGAGCCGTGAAGGTGCCGCAGTGAATGGAATTCCCGCCGCCAGACCTGAATGATATGTCAAGCCATCTATTAGCGGAGATGACTAACAGAATCTGATATAATCTTCGTTCTGGCAGAAAGACCAGAAAGGTTCATTGGTCATTGTGGTGTGCCTGGGTTCTTGGTTGCACTGAATGGGCGGGCGAGTGCTTGTAGGTTTCTTGACCAAATACTCCGTACTCCGTGCTCGGGCGGGAGAAGCACATCATCGACGCCTTGCTGGCGGATGAGGAGGCCCCGAAATGAGTGTCGCTGGCCTTTCCATCGTTGCCAGTCGTTTGAGGAGCGATCAATGGAGCAGGGGGAGGCCAGCAAAGCCCGAGACTCGCGAGACCTGCAACGGCAATCTGTTTGTAGGAGACGTCCTCGTAGGCCCTACATGCCATAGGATGGAGTAAACGCGAGCAAACTCCCAGAGTTCTTTCATGCCTGGCCCGGGCGGTGGGTGTGTGTGCGTTCTGGGGAGTGGGTGTCGCTAGGGGAAGGGGGGCGTCAAGGGGTCTCAGGTTCAGGTTGGAATTTGAGTCATCGGCTGATGATCTGAGGTGCGAGGCGCGAAGTTTGCAAGGGCCGCTGTTCAGCGGCGAGCGGCGGGCGACGGGCGAGGCAAGAGCCACAGTGGTGAGTGGTGACTGCGTGCAGAGCCCAAGTGGCGAGGGTGCCACCCCATTACCCAGCCCTTATATCCTCCAAACCATCGCCAGCGCCCCCCCCCGGATGCGGTCCTTCTCTACCAAAGAACAAGATGAAGCAACCCATGAATCGCAGCACTGGCTGCTTGTTATACTTTGACCACATCTGAATCCCTCTGAGCACGTATTCTGGTATAAGGACGCAGGTTATCACCAACCCGCCGAACTCGATTCCCCAGTAAGCCCTTCCAGCACTCCTGGCTGCAAAAGCGTCTCGCATTTCGCCACGAAGCACAAAGACTCACAATCGAGCACTGAAAAACCAATTCAGAGCATCCGACTGACTCACTGGACAATGTCTGCCTATAGACACTGTATATTTAGGACGATCTCATATTTGCCACGACCGTTGAAAACACAGATACCCAGAGACAAAAGGCTGAAGCCCGTCCGCAGCTTCCCCTGCTCTCACCACCGCTACAAATCCCATTGCGATCCGAGCCTCGCATTCACTCCCTCCACTTCACCCTTCCCTTCAATCGCCAACGCTTCGTCAATTGGATTCACAGGATCTATTGACAGCCACATTTCTCTCACTGCAATCTGATCCAACCCCCCTCCGACCGCCTTCGGTTCAGAACGTCGTCCGCCGACACGTCCTAGGACACCTCTCACCACTCTCCACTCCTATCAGAGTCATCAAAAACAGTGGTCATTAGCCATGATTTCTTGGTCGGTGTCATATATCCAAGAAGAACCATCTGCACGCCGAAGCCCACCGCCAGAGTCACGAATTGTTTTGGTAAAGCCACACCAAGATTGGTTTGAGACAGACGAGCATTTGTACCTCGAGACCTTCCTCGCTGAGTTGGCCGATGCTTAACTCTCGAAGGGTCATCGATCTCGTGCTTGTCCTGATCAAGCTATCTTGCCAAACAAAACAGTCCTTTGTGCTCTGACTTGCGGTGGGTTCGCCCCCCCAAAATCATTTGGTAAGGATGAACGCACCTCAGACAAGAACAGCATTCTCATACTCTTGCAACAGGTTCTCCTAATTGGTTCTTCTGTCAATTTGAATTGCCGTAATTGAAACGCGCTGCCATCAACTGGGAACGGTGGCTCACTTCGAAATCGGAGGATTAGTTGGGCCTCTCCGTCCCTAGAAGATGGGCTTTGAGGAGGTTGCAGCCTTCTCCAATTCCCACCCCCCTCAAAATATACAAGATTCAGTCGAGAGATGGCTCTCTCCGGTGTCGAGGGAAGAGCCAGGCCGATTCTACAACTTCAGCAGACATTCGCAGGAACGATGGGCATTGAATACCTACAACTTCAAGCCGGACGTCGATCAAACTAGCATCGCTTCCATTGACGATGATGTCAGTGTGAGCGATTCAGCCCATGAGTCTTACTCCTCCGAGTCATCTTCTCAAACGTCGTGGACGTCAACAACCGATCCTGGCGACATCTTCCTGGACGAGGATGGTAGAGAGCCGCTTCCACCGCTTAAGAAGGTGCTCTCTCACACGGCACTCGAACCTCAAGAGCAGTTGTTGAAGGGACTACAGAACAAAGATCATATTGCTTCTGACAGCAGCTGCCCCCTTGGGTATGCCTATCGTAGCCTCAAGGCTCGAGTCTCAACTCATCTTCAACAACCCAGCCAAACCTGCTTACGACTCCGAGGGGGCGACGCCAGCTTTGACCCAGATGCGCAGCATTGGAGTGCTCGGAGGACTGCCTGTTCCTTCCGAAGACAATGCCCACCTAGATTAAAGAGGGATACCGACGTGACAGAGCAATTTGTGTCTCTTCTCATCGTCTTTGCAAAGAGACTCATCACCGCCATATGGCCCCTCTCGGACCGACCCCCAATGATGTCGGATTGTTTCAATGGAGCTGGTGTATTACGCCTCGATACCTTCATCAAAGAAACTCTCCGACGCTCCAAGACAAGCTATTCGACTCTGCAAGTTGCTCTGTACTATCTGATCCTCCTAAAGTCTAGGATGTGTCAAGGACCGTCCAAGACCGGTTGGAGAGGCGAGTCGTCTGAGAGGTCACAATGCCGAGCCATGCAATGTGGGCGTCGCATGTTTTTGTCGGCTCTCATGCTGGCTTCGAAATATTTGCAGGATCGGAACTACTCAGCTCGTGCTTGGAGCAAGATCTCTGGTCTCCGGAGCAATGAAATCAACGAGAACGAAAGAGAATACCTTGCGCAGATCAACTACGACCTCCATGTTCCGAAAGAGGCTTTTGACAATTGGAGCAAGATTGTTTTGATTTTGAGCAAATTGTCGAGCGAGGGACCAGCGTGTCGGCCAAGCACTCTCAACGAGAACTTTGGTCCCCCTGGCGGTCGCCCGGGCGCTTCATTGGCGGCCATGATATCGCAAGTGGGTCTTGAAGAGAATATGAACGAGTATGTGTTCTCAGATTCGTGGTGGACTGCTTTGCTCCGGAAACTCGAGCCTAGCACTATCAAAGACACGGCACACGTCGATGAGTTCTTGCGAACTAACCTACCAAGCGACAAGATGGAAATCATTGCGTCATTGGCGCAGCTAAGCAAGCAAGTGAACAGACGGCCGGAGAGCTCAACCCCTGGCACGGATGCTGGTACTCATGGTTATGATCTGAATTTCAGCGAGGCCTTGAAGACACGCATTCCCGAGTCGACCAAGACTCAGCCGGTACAGGCTTTTCAAACTCTGGTTCAGATGAGTCCGGCCAAGGGCCTGGCGTTACCAACTCGACCTCACCTTGGAAATCTCCCAACTCCACAAACCACCCCTCGTCCGGATCACTGTGCATGGGAGCGAACCTGTAGCCGATCTTCCCTTCGTTGCTCTGCATCGTTGGACGCGTTGCGAAGCATGCGGAAGCAGTGTTTGATGAATGCGAATTTGGAACGTTGTCCTCCACCCCGACCTCAAAGCCTCGTCTTACCATCTGTGAAGTGCCTTTTGCGTCCTGCAGAGACAATTCAGGAACTTCCCAGTCGGTCAACGACCCCAGTAACTTCATCACCGGCGTCGATCTCGTCGGACTCGACGACCCTGACATCCCGATCTCGATCATCATCTATTTCGTCCAACTCTTCGTGGTCTTCCTGGGCACCAAGCATACCCCAGTTGCGGAGAAGAGTGTGGAACGGCGTCAGCTCTCCTCTATCTCGAGTATCTTCGTTGTCGGACAGACACTGCAAGCCCGTCTCGACAGATTGTCAGAGATCGGAGATCCCCTTTCACCGAGAAAGCTGTCCCGAGGAATCTCGGGTTCAAGAACCAAAGAATATCCCTACCAGTTCCGAAGTCGCTGCCATCCATGGATTGATGTCGTTGTCAGCGTTGACAGAATCACCCAGCCAGAGCGTCACCCCAACACCTCAGCGACTTGCTGAGAAAGGTGACGGCGGGGTACAGCAAAGGGATAGTCACCCGAGGGGCCAAAAGAGAACTCTTTCCAAGATCGATTCCGACCTTCACGCCCAAGTGAGAAGTCTCCTCTCGCAGAGTCAGACGCATATGGAAGTCGTCGAAGATTCTCTACCTCTTTACTCATGCTTAACACCCACGCAATTACAACAGCCGACCAAGCTCCTGATGGAACCAAGGAGAGCCGTCTCCAACGCTGCAGGCACGAAACGTCATTGCTCCATGCATCATTCGTCTTCCACACCCGATATGTCATTGCGCTTTCTCACAGAGGCCGTCGCGGCGTCCTGAAGTTGCGTGATATGGATGGTTGCAGTCTTGCGGAAGGCCTCGTGACGGATTCAATGTCAAGGACGACGGTCATCTTGGGCCTTTCTGGCTCTGGAATCTTCTCGATTGCATCTCTTACTATGGCTGCCTTTGCTGTCTTGATCGTATGCACGATTGCAGACACAGCGCCGCGCCGATAGAGGTGTGCTGTCGAGATGGTGACGATGATGTCGGCGTCGTGCGTCTCTCCTGGTCCACAAGACTCCGACGCAGCGCCGCGGCGTTTGGCATCCGAGCTTCTAATCACTCTGCCAAACACGGCTGCTACAAGCATCTGCGCCATGTCAAAGTCCAAGAGGGAGAGCAGCCAACACGAAGGCACCCACAAGCACTTGTTCTCTGTCCAAGGAGCAGAGAACATGAACAACAACCCACCCCTTTTGATATCAAATCTACCGCCAGGACAAATAGGGTCCCCAGCGGTTCGGAGGAATCCTCGCGGAGCCATTTTAGTGCTATCATTGTCATTGTATAGCTCATGGAATTGAATTTTCTTTGTCTTTGTATCAAATGACCTGTTCTTATTTCGATCTGGCCGACGCTCTCGGAACTTGACTCGAGTTGGTGCCTTGCCATGTCTTTGCCCGGTTCCCGACACATCTGGAACCACGATTCCACGTTCCAGGCACTATGTACCGCCCATTCCCGCCCATCCCAGGGCCAACCCAAGGCTACTAGGCGGATCAGAGTCCCTGAGGATGATAAGGTCCCACGGGTCGTAAGCCGATATCGGGCACTCTGGCGGTGTCGCATGAGTGAGATTAGATACTTCATCACGCCACCATGTGTACGAGGTTACCAAGTACATACAAGTACATACAAGTACCCAGCACATACCAAGTCCATAGTCACAGTATGTACCGAGGGTCCCTACAAGTATGTAGCTCGCTAGCTCCACACTCGGTACTATCCACTTCGCTGCGTGTCCTACAGCTCAGCTTAGCTTGGCTTAGGATTTAGGCTCGTCCCTCGGCGAGACCTCCTCGTACACAACGGCATCAATGCATATCTGTCTGTGCCTGGGCCTGTGTCCTTGCCAGTGACTGTGTGCGTGTTTACTGCATACATACATCCGTCTATACAAACGCAGACACACACACCCCCCTCGACATACATCTAGAGGTATCACTCCCCCTTCGAAACCAATCGATCGGCGTGCCCGTCCACCCCGCACCCAATCCGGGCCTCTCACTCGATTCTAACGCGCTTGCGGGGAGAAAAGGAAAGAAGAAAAAGAGAAGGAAAAGAGAAGAGAAGAGAAGAGAAGAGAAGAGAAGAGAAGAGAAGAGAAGAGAAGAGAAGAGAAGAGAAGAGAAGAGAAGAGAA